CTGGTACATCCCAAATACTGCCTGACTGCATAATTATGCAAAGTATAGGGAATATTAAGGTTAAATTGAGATCAAATTACATATGGGACAAATAAATGGACTTACCCATGCATCTCTACCATGTGTCCAACCAATATGTTGACAAGAACATGCCTTGTTTCACTTGTCAGAGTGGTTTTGGACCTGTACTCAGCAAATATGACATTGCTACCGGCTTTGTGGTTTAAGGCAGCAAGGACAACCTTCAAAACAACTGAAATACATGAGTTCTGAATTCAGTATTTAAAGTTGTTAACTGATTAGATGTGATTAACAATATAGACTTTAAGTGACTCATACAAATGTAGAGAGAGACCAATTTTATAACAAAAGGGCACATAATATGACCGTATGGCAAAATATGACAATGACATTTATGTTTTGATGCTGTAGGATTACAAAAAATTCAAATGCAATTGCAACGCAGAAATAAAATTAAAAACCTCTTTGGCGGCAGTTGCTGAATCTTCTAACTTTTTGGACCTCTTAGCTGGATGCTCCGGTGTTTGGTCTAGGTCACTTGATGAACGGCTAGATATGGACAAAGTATCATTGCAGGAGCTGCTTCCTGGAGCTAACATCTCCAATTCTGGAAGGAAAAATAAGCATTCTAAGAGATGAGGAGATGACGTTCGCGACCAGCACACAGGACTTCCAACCGGCCAGTCCACCACTGTACCGAACCATGTCATATTAAAAGGTTTTAAGTATATGCCAGTTAAATGTATTACTCATAACACACTCGCTACACAGACATGCACTTTAAATGCAAATTAGTCATCAAAAGCGTTAAAATGGAAGCCCGGTTTTTACCCTGTTTTCATGTCTGCTTCAAATCCTAGCTTTAAAAGAAGCCACAAAAACGTTCTAGATATAAAATAAAGACAAGTACTGGAATTGTAATACTATTCAAAGTTAATGTTGGATTACCTGCGTAATTTAAGTTATGGTAAAAACAGGTTGAAAAAAAATGAAATTCATGACAGCATATATGAAGCTGATATAAAAATGAACAGTGTTCTATTTTAATGCATTTACCTCGTGTGTTGTTCTTCAGAATTGTAAAATGGCGGCAAAAAGAGAAGTATGATAACAATTAACTATTTAAACTAGGAAGGTAATACTGTTAAAACAATTAACATGCAGCAAATTTCACAACAAATTGTACATACTTATTCGTAAAACCATAAAGCAAAAACCAATCAACATATGAATTACTTCTTTACCCCTGTAATTTCACCTCGCCTCAGAACTTGTCTTGTCTGTCCCTGTCTCATGAATGGGAGGAGTTCTAGCCATTGTTTTCTGATTGGAACACTATAAAACAACTCACTTACTGGTGATTTTTCAACTATGTTGGTGTTAACATTTTAATGAACGCTGGAATCAACTCCAGGCAACTCTGACATAGGTAACACTGGAAATTCAACACTGGCAATTTTGCTGTGTATGTTGTCATATTTAAAAAAACAAAACAAAACAAAATGAACACTTTAAGTGGAGTGCTTGATTTCTATGAGCAAATTATTTAAACAGTATTTGTACAGGAATTGATTCTATCCCAAGCTTTTTGATCCATATAAGCAATTGATCACAATAACTGTGGTCACTATAAGCAGTTTCCACTGTATATTAAAATACATCAGGAAGCCCTGGGTAGTAGAGAAGGCACAAAGTGTAGCAGAGGTCTTGTTGCTGGTGTACTTTAGGACCATACAGCGGTGTTGTCTGACTTCGCATAACACCATAGCCAAAAGCTGTGGCGTTGCTAAACATTTTGGGCCCCATGAAAGCATATCATATTGGGCCCCCAGGTCTAGACCAATCCGGTTATTTTGCAATTTTTTTAGGACCACTGTCACTCCAGGGCCCTTGGAATTGTCCTAACTGCCCCCTCCCTTACAGCATCTCTAACCACAAGGAATAGAATGTATCTCATTTGTAAAAAAAAAAAAAAAAAAAGTACAACGTAGAGCACATGCTGTGAAGCAGTCCAATTCACTGCTGGGCATTTTGCCTATTTGCTACCAGCTAAATTAATTGTCAGTTTTTGTCTGTGACATAATAGGTCAGTCAGAAACAGCCCAATAATAACAAGCTTAAAGGAGCTATATCGCCACCTATCATAGCGGAATTGGACAAACTTCGATCAATAAATCTATTCCTGTCCCGTGCATGCATGTATATATACTGGGACAAGGACAGTAGTCCTATTGAATGGCGTAGTTGAGCTATGATCATGGCTCGACTTTACTGTGCATGTACTTGACTGATATCACGATATGACAGTTTTTTATCATGTAAAAATGTATGATGTGCAAACTCCATAATATAAATGAAAGCCTTTCTAAAAGAAATGTAGTCCCTGCTATATTACTGTTGTAATTAAAATTGCTGTGAATTTACTGGCTGTAAAAACAAACAACATGGGGCCTGTTCCAAGGTGAAGTGCTTTATTCTGATGATTAAACACCAGGAATCCCTGTGTGAGGGTTTGTTACTATTCTATGGCAGCCACCTGCCTGTAGCCCTCCAGCACTGTACAGTACCTGAGAGGGCAGGGCTGGACTGGGACCAAAAAATGGCCCTGGCATTTTTTGGTCATGGCGGCCCACTATGATTATTTATACGATATGCGAAAGCATGTGACATACCAGAGGATATATGTGCACGTTGTGTGATTTCAAAAATTAAAATAAAGCACAGCAGCCTACAAGGAAGAGAGTAACTATGTTAAAAAAATTGATATGCTCTTTCACTACTCAGAGAAAGAGAGAGAGAGAGAGAGAGAGAGAGAGAGAGAGAGAGAGAGAGAACAAGAACGTTAATTTCACTAGTGTTATTTCTCTGGTTACCTATCAATGATAAATCATCCATTTCAGCAAAGCAACGTTTTACTAATATTTCATGATAATACAACTGTAAGCTGTAACACCTGCAAACTGTAACTTTATGGCTAAAATACCTCTGGACACCAAATCTACTCATAGCATTATTTAAAAATGAAGGCTATAAAGGCAATTCTCTCTCTCATACACACACAGTTTGTGCACAAAATTGTAGTTTTGTACACAAATGACACATAACTCTATAGGCTAATATTATTCTGCATGTTTTAAGTCTGACTGAATAAAATAAGTCTTGTAATAATTTCCTATGTTGAGCATTTGCACACTTATGGCCCAGATACAATTTAATGAAGATTATCATTTTTTATCATTTTAAAATTGTATTGTAGCCCTGGCGGGGCGCATGTCCCAGCATGCCCCGCGTGCAAGTTGTAAATAGCCATTGTATTGTTGTTGTTATTGTTAATGGTTATATTCCTTATTGTCACGCGTGTGTTTGCCCATGTCTTGCGTGTACCCTGTCCGATTCTCGTGTGTAATTAGCTTCCGTAAATCTCCCACCATGTATGTATCTTGGAGTTCAGTGTCTGACAACCCTGTGTTTCTGATTCGTAATAGTTTCGGTGCTCATTGGGTGCCTGATGTAGTCTTTTTTTCAGGATTAGTAATAAAGAGCGTGTTCTCCCCGGCAGGTGTCCGTCTCTCTCTCTCTGCTCCCGTGATGCCTCGGTCCGCCCGTCGCCACAGTATTAATTCTAACTCTTCTAACTCCTTATTTTACGTTTTCTGTTTTAATTCACTATTATTATTACACACATCCCAAAACATTGTCATTGTTAACTCTGACTGTGTGCAAGCTTACGTGTAGGTAACCCACCCACCTCTTTCTCTCTCTCTCTCTCTTTCTCTCTCTCTCTCTCTCACACACACACACACTCCAGCCCTTTGCACTCCCTACATGAAACGTCCCTCTTTATTAACATTTCGGCTACTTTTTAATCTGACCTCTTCCTCAATCTTTCCCTGGGCCATGTCTCTCTCCTCATCCTCTTCCTCCGACGTATCTCCCTGAATCGCTAATTCTGCCTCCCCCTCTGGCCCTGCACCAGCTGCTGCAGCAGTAAAACTTGGTGGCAAACATATCGTTAAGTTTTGCGCATTTTGCTGCGCTCACTTGAAGGCTTTTTTGCCTTTTTTCTCTGAGCTTTTCTGCGCCCCCCCTTGCACTTTTTTGGTTTGTCCGTAGCCACTCCTCTCCAACTCCGGTCAGCTCAAATGGCAAAATCTGATAACCTTGGTAAAGGGAAGGGAGGAGCAGGCCGAGGAGGGCTGAGAGATTTCATTGGAGTAGCCCAATGTACTTCAAGAAAATCAACCAATGGAACGTCGTGGTCGATAAAAAATACTTATACTTTTTTGGGTAAATTATGACAGCCCCCGGTCGGCCCAAAAATGTGCGTCGGCCCACTGGGCATGAGCTGATGGTGCCGGCTGCCTATGACTCAGATCCTCACCACACTGGGTGCACTTGGCACCCTGCTCACTATTTGGCTGTGTTTAGCTCAAGGTGTCTTTTTTGTTTGCTGGTGCATAATCACCCTACATATCATGGCTTCCCACTATATAGTGTCTATAAGGTTTAGTGTGAGCTCTTGGGGGGGAGGATCATTGCTGCACTGGTTTTCCTGTTCCACACTGGCCCAACCCCATACCCGGGACTGTGCTCCCTGTAGTGGGAGGCATATGCACCTATTTATGTGTTTGATACTGACCCTGTGACATGTAATGTCATGGTGATGATCAACTGTGTAGTGTTGCTAAGGAGAGGCTGAGGCAGCTGGTGGATGGCACCCCATTGCGATGTGTGGGGAGGAGAGTGTAGTGTATCCACTTGGGGTCTGTCTTTGAGAATGATGGCCTGCTGTGCATGGGGGGTGATTCTTGCAAATTCCTGCCAGGTCTGTGACACATGTGGTATGTGAAGGGGACATTCAGTTCAAATGATCTGAATCCTGAACCTGACAGAGCTCATGGTGTTGGTCTTCCCCGCGCCTGTTATCCACGCCTTTGGGAGAGTTTGTAAACCCGCTTACGCTCCCTTTGCCCCTCCAGCTGCGGGCCGACCCCATCCACATCTGCAGCCTCTGCATGGGCACCAGGGAGTCCAACCGAGTCAGACTGCCAGAGGAGCTGCTGTCCTGTGCCGACTGTGGAAGCAGTGGTGAGTGAAGCCCTGTCTGCACGTGCACAGCGGGAACTGTGGTGTCATACATGCCTAAGGACCAGCAGGGGGCGTACCTAAGAATAATCTCTGGCTTCGGGTCCATGTATCATTTGTGCCCCTCTTTGATGATCCCCCTACTAAAGCTGCTTGGAATGACAGTGCAAGATGTCTGTATTCCTGTGTGGTTTCATGTTTCATTTACATAGCTTTGCTCAAGTACAGTATTGCACCACTGTTTTAAACTGGCCAACAGCAGGGGTTGGTCGGACCAAAGGTTCCTGACTCCAGTCCTAGTAACACAAGCTGGTCCACCAATGCTTCCAGCTGTATAAATCAGTCCTGATCTACTTTGGATAATGGCCTCTGCGTTCAGCTATGTGAGGTGTGCTCGCCTTCCCCAGGCCACCCATCCTGTGTGAAGTTCTCGCCAGAGCTGAGCACCAACATGAAGGCCTCACACTGGCAGTGCCACGAATGCAAGATCTGCAGCTGTTGTCGCATACCGGGCAAAGATGTTGTGAGTACACTGAGTGCGTCATTCTGTGGAGAAGGCATGTACGTGGGTTGTACATGTCACTCAACGGTTTGCTAAGGCCTGCTTGTTGCATGCCTGCTCTGTCCATTTTAATATCACTTGGGACATTAAAGTGGGGCAGTTTCTGTGAAAGGGGTTAATGAGTTGCTCCCGCTGCCTTTATACCAGGACAAAATGCTCTTCTGCCACTCCTGCAATCAGGGATTTCACATGGAGTGCTGTGATCCACGGCTGGCCCACATGCCCAAAGGTAACACACAGCCCCCCCCCCCCCCCGCCCTCCACCCCCCACCCCCATTCTGTTTAACTTTGTCAGGGTTACTAAGTATCATGACTCCCCACCATGCTGGCTGCTTATTAAAATGACAGCAGCTCCTGGTCTCACACAGCCATTACAGGCCAACATGCGTAGCATAGCAGAATTTCTGACGGATGTCACTTTTGGCTATATTTGGCCCCCCAGGGAGATGGATCTGTCCGGTCTGCCAGCCAAAGAGGGGGGGGAGGCAACTCCTGCACCAGCGAGCAGCACAGATCAAGCGGTGGTACGGCAGGTCGCAGGGGAGGTCACGGGCGTGGTGGGGCCTGCTGGCAGCGTAAGTCTGTCACTCATGTTTATGTTAAGCAGGAACCTCCCAGACGGGGCCATCTGAAGTACGTGGGGGGGGGGGGGTGACACTGTTCTGTTCAGACTTACACCTGTTACCTGTTACTTTCAGGCCTGCAGGAGAGAGATCCCCGGTTGCCTTGACAGAACAGGGTAGGGGTCTAAAGGTTGCTGTGTCCCCCACACCCTCATCCGGTTCTGCTCGCCCTGTGGGGGACCTCAAGACCAGACTCTCTGCTCCCACCTCCCTCACCCGAAGCAGGAAGGTTAAGGGGCTTATTGATAGCCTGTCCCAGGTCTTTACCTCCTCTCCCATCAGCCACCATTCCTGGAACAAAGTGCCTGATTCTTCAAAGCCATGTGGACGTGAGGGGGCTGACCCCCCTGTCTTACAGACCCCCCCCATTCCCGAGGAGGGTGGCTCCCCCCTCAGCTCCTCCAGCCAGTCCAGTGGTCTGTCTCTGGGCAGTGCCCCTTGCCGCAGCCAGCTGAAAGGCCTGTTTGACGGCCTGTCCCACATCTATGTTACACAAGGGCCTGCCCGCAGGAAGCCCCAGCCCAGCCATGCCCCTCCCAGGTGTGCATGGTCCAGGCTCCGCCCTCTTCCTGGTCCCCTTGGGAATGCCCTGCCCCCACCCTCCTCCGGCTGGGGATTGAGCAGGGGACGGCCCTTCAAGGTCACCGAGGATTTCAGGAATATGGCGTGGCTTAAGAGATGCAGAACTCTGGGCAGGTTACACAGAATGGGACCTCAGAGGGGGACCCCAGCTGACGGACCCATCACACCCAAACAGGACTGCGGTAAACACATCCCCCCCCCCCCCTTCACATCTTCCAGACAATCTTTGTTTCCATGTCGCTGCTCATTGTACACAGTAAAACTAACCTGTGTGTGGTCTCTGATCGCAGCCTCTGAATTCTCTGCGATTCTCTTTATGGTGACTCCAGTTCACCTCTGTGTGGTCTCTGTGTGTGGCATCTGAAATCTCTATGGTTCCCTGTACCGTGATCCCATTTCACATCTGTGTGGTCTCTGTGTGCCATGTCTGAAATCTCTCTGATACTCTGTACGGTGAACCCATTTCACTTGTGTGTAATCTCTGTGTGTGGTATCTGAATTCTCTGTGATTCTCTGTATAGTGATTATATTGAAAGATCACAGAATCCCTCACTCCCTCATCTGGGTTTGCCCTGCGTCTTCATGCACAATGCAGGCAGTGAGGTCCAGCGTGCCACCAGGCTGCAGAGATGGAGCTTTGGGGTGACGATGGAGGATGTCGAGATGTTCAGGCACGTACAGGAGCTGTCCTCTCTGGTGAGCATGAGCTTGACACGTTGGGATGACTCCTCTGCCTTTATTCCTGCTGGATGTTGGGCAGTAACGCATTTGATAACCGGTATTTTTATTGGCTGTCCTAATAATCATACATGTAAAACTGATACTTAACTCTCTGTGTAGGTGCTGCAGAAAACAGGTGGTCAGAGCGGACTCCATCCTGAGCACTGTCCTCTGTACATCGAGCTAGGAAACTATGAAATCCGGACGTGGTACTCCTCGCCCTACCCTCCTGAGTATTCCAGGTGCAAATAGAACAGTGTCTCACAGGGGGCAATGAGTGACGTGAGCCATTAGGGGACTAACACACCTCAAAAGCCTGCAAAAACAGAGACACCAGACACAAATCTTATTTCATTCTTATTTAATTAGATTTTTTCACATGCATTGCATTCAATGCAGTTCAGTGGTATATGGGCCATTGAGGAGTGTCTTTAAAGTCTGTTGCTGTGGGTCTGTGACACACTGGCTGTGTGCGTGTTATAGGCTGCATAAACTATACATCTGCGAGTTCTGCCTGGCGTACATGAAGAGCAGGGTTGTCCTGCAGAGGCACACCGAGAAGCATGCCTGCTTCCGCCCCCCAGCCGACGAGATCTACAGGAAGGACGAGCTCTCCATCTTTGAGGTGGGTGCTCTCAAGGCCGTCACCGCTTTCCTCACACAGATCCCTCACACATGTTCCTTATTGACAGACCAGCTGCTATGTAGTCTGCCCAGGTTATATTTCCTGTCTGAGTGCAGTCATGTTTCCAGGAAATGCCTTTTCTTTCCACATTGTTACCACCCCTTCTCCAGAGGCTTACTCGCTTTGCTTTTTGCCCTGTAGGTCGATGGTAGCATCAGTAAGATCTTTTGCCAGAACCTCTGCCTGCTAGCCAAGTTCTTTCTGGAGCACAAGACGCTGTACTATGACGTAGAGCCCTTCCTCTTCTATGTCCTGACGCGGAATGACAGCAAGGGCTGCCACCTCGTTGGATACTTCTCCAAGGTGGGGGGGACGTGCTCTGCTGTGCTGCTCTGTGCACCCTCTGACATCCCCACCCTGCCCCAACCAATAGCAGTCTCAGTACTACCAGTTAGTCTGATTACCAGAACACATGGTGTGTGTGTGTGTGTGTGTGTATGACTAAATGTATGTAACTGTTGGTTTGTATTGGTTGGTGTTTCACACAAGGACATTCAGGCTTTCTCACTCCTCTCTTCATTCTCCCTACTTCCTTCACTCTTCATTCTTTCACTGCCTCCCTCCCTCACTTTTGTATCATTCTACCTCCTTCTCTCCCATTTCCTCATGCTCTTTTCTTCCATTTCCATCTTCTTTTTCTCTATCTCCCCTCTCCTCTCCTTCACTCTCTCTTCCTCCCTCCCTCCTTCTCTCTCCCCCATCCCTCTGTCCTCTCCTTCCCTCTCTCCATTCCTCCTTCCCTTTCTGCTCTCATTTACTCTCTGTCCCTCCCTCCCTTTGTCCCTCTTTCCACTACCTCTCACTGTTGGTCCCTCCCTCTGCTTCCCTCTCTTCCTCCCCGCCACTCTTCTGTCCCATTCTCTTTCTTGCACCCTCTCCTTTCACTCACTTTATCCCCCCTTCCCCTGCCCTCCCCTTCCATCAGGAGAAGCACTCCCAGCAGAACTACAATGTGTCCTGCATCATGGTCCTGCCTCAGTACCAGAGGCAGGGATATGGCCACTTCCTCATTGACTTCAGTAAGTGTCCTCTGCAGCTGAGTACCTGTTGCTGTAAACCTGTCAGACACCAGTGTTCACTCATATGCATTTACAGGATACTAGCCACCTCCAGTTAAAGCTGATGAAGTGCTCTCCACTTGACATGTCTGTAGTTGTAAACATTTATTTGGGGTCTAAGCTCATGGATAAACTGCTTATGTTTCTGTTATTCAAGCTTGTGAAGGGTTTTTTTCTGGTGGTCAGGGTGATGTTGGCTCCCAGGTTTCTGCTATGTTTCCCTTACCTGCTAAAAATGGTTGTGGGTGTGACTCTGGCCGGATGGGCATGAGTCCTAGTGAAGAGATCTCAGCACCACGTTGCCCTTTTCACCTGTCAGTGCGCTGGGCCCTTGTGCACAATGATCCACGCTCACTCGTGTATAAATAGCCTGCCTTGTCCTTAGCTGGAGGTTAGACGTGTCCAGGCCTCCCTCGGTCTGATGTAAGCAGGAAGGGACCTCCCCAGGCATCATGCAGCAAACTGGTGAATTAAACAAGAGATTGCTCTCCCTGGAAACATCCTGTCACCCCTGTGTCCTTTTCTTATAAGTGCTTATCTGACTTATAGTGCACATTTCCCACTTCTTGTGCTGAATTTTTATTTATTTTTTTATTGGGTTTTTGTTTGCATTACAAAACAATCAAACTATTGCAACAGATCACAAACAGAACCAATGACATTCACGTACATACACACTTACACACACTCACTCACACATTTGCACAATCCATATTTCAATATATAGTTTTGCAAAATAAAATCAATGCAGAGGTTTGAAATAAAATAAAATAGGCCTATGTAAACTTCAATGTAAGAAGGGTCACCCTTAAAAAAAACAAAACTAAATAGATGTACAAAATAAATAAAAATTTACATTCCAGATTCTATAATGCTCATATATGGTTCCCAGAGATGAACAAACTCTTTCTGATTTCCCTTAGCAATGTATGTTAGTTTTTCCAGACCAAGGCACTCTGACAGTCCCCTTATCCACTGTTTCATAGAAGGTGCCTCTATACTCTAACAATTAAGTGCAATCACTCTCCTGGCTTGTAGAAGTCCAAAGTCCAGCAGCATAGTCTGTTTCTGTTCAATGGATAAATTCCAAGTATACATAGCTTAGCAGTTAGTGGTATGTTAATACAAAAGACTTCTGACAGACAATTTATAACATCCTTCCAAAACTTCTGAATCTTTGGACATTCCCACAAACAGTGAAGAAGGGTTCCCTTGTTATCCAGACATTTTGTACAAGTATCTGGAATGTTGGCAGACATATGGTGAAGTTTGACAGGAGTCATGTACGTCCTCATCAACCATTTATATTGGAGGAGCTTAAACCTTGTATTTATTGTTTGTGTTTGTGCCTTTAAACAGGCCCCATTCCAATCCATTCCAGTTATGTTTTCTTGTATGTCATCTCTCCAGGCATTTAACCTATCCATTGCTGAATATTTAGAAGTGGATATTAGTAAATTATAATAAATAGAGAGTAGGTGTTTCCTTCCCATATGCCCAAGGGAGACTTCCTCTATTTTTGATAATGATGGGACCCGCATACTCTGCTTGGATCTGGATAAGATGATTTTTTTCAATTGTAGATATTTAAAAAAAATGCTTTGGAGGAATTTGGTATTTTTCACATAACTGGTTGAAGGTAAGCAACACTCCATCTGCATACAAATCCATCACTCTCTGAATACCTTTCACATGTCATAGTCTAAACCCCCCATCTTTTTTACCAGGTATGAATTGCTCATTACCCAAAATGGGGGTGAACTGAGAAAGTACTGGAGAGTCTCCCATATGTTTGTGTGCAGCATGCCACACTAAAATTGTGTTTTTCAGGAAGGGATTTTTTGTATGTTTTTTAAGTCTTTTTTCATCTGTAGAGTACAGATAACTATGTAAGGACAACTCTGGCACTGATTCTTATTCAATGCTTACCCAAGATGGGGGTGAAGTACAAAAGTAATGTGTAGCTGATGTCAACTGGGCCGCCATATAGTACCACTTGAGATTTGGAAATTGAAGCCCCTCTCTCTCATAAGGCTGATATAGTAATTTTAAGCGAAGTCTTGCTTTCCTATTGTTCCAGATGAACTGAGTGAACAACTTGGTTAAATGATCATAAAACGTTGCCGGTAATGGCAGAGGAAGTGTCTGGAAAAAATACAGGAATTTAGGTAAAATTGTCATTTTTATAACATTTATTCGTCCCATCATGGATATGGGTAAATTAGACCATCGGTTTAATAGTTTGGTAACTTCATCTACTACGGGATCGTAGTTTGATGGGATTATTTTATTGAGTTCTGGAGTAATTTTTACACCCAGGTATTTAAAACCCTCAGTAGTTGTTGTAAATGGTGTTGTTATGGTGGGGTTTGCCCTCTCTTCCTCATTTAAAAACATTAATACAGATTTAGAATTATTCATTTTGTCCCAAGGAAATTTTCCAAAGTCCTCTAATAGCCTTGTCAGATTCAGGATGCTATTCTTTAAATCTGTCAGAAAAAATATAATGTCATCTGCAAACAGAAATTAAGTGGTCTCTTTTACCAATTCTTATGTCTGATATTCCCGCATGAGATCGCACTGCTACAGCCAAAGGTTCTATTGCTAATGTAAAAAGTAGTGGTGACAAAGGGCACCCCTGTCGCGTTGATCGCTGTAAGTTAACGGGTTTTGAAATGTTGTTATTTGTTAAAATTTGTGCTGAGGGATTAGTATACAGTAGTCAAATCCATTGGAGAAATGATTCACCCAATCCATATCTTGGAAGCAATTCCAAGAGGTAATTCCATTCTATTCTATCAAATGCTTGGCATGCATCTAGAGCTAACATTGCTGTGTCTTAAGTGTTGTGTTTCTCATATAATATATTTAGAACCCGTCTGATGTTGTGATAATCTTGTCCATTTCTAGCAAAACCTTGTTGGTCATCGGTTATCAATTTAGGCTCCTAGCAAGAGCCTTACATAATATCTTGGTGTCACATCCCATGAGACTAATTCCCCTGTAGGAGGAACAGTCAATTGGGGATTTATGTGGTTTTAATAAAAGAGTTATAGTAGTTACTCTCAATGAATTTGGAAGCATACCCAATTCATATGATTCATTATACATGTCTAGAAGTGGCTGTACTAATTTACTTTAAAATTTCTTATAAAATTCTATTGGCAGCCCATCTGGCCCAGGTGCTTTACCACTATTCATATCTCCTATAGCATCTAAAAGGTCCTTTATTGTTAGTGGATTATCAAGTATTGCTTTATCTTCCTCTGATAATGTCTGTAATTGTAACTGTTCAAGAATAGTATTCTGAGCATCTTCATTTCCATTGTATTCGGATTTATATAACAACTCATAAAATTCTCTAAAGTTATCATTTATCTCTGTGGGTTCAATCGTTATATTACCTGTTTTTGGCTTTATAATATGTATTGTCCTTTGAGCCTGTGTTTTCTTAATGCGCCAGGCCAGTAGTTTACCTGCTTTTTCACCTTGGTCATAATATGCTTGTTTAGTCCACATTAAACTCCCTAAATTTGTTTCTCTAATGACTGTATCTCTTGTTTGTATTGCTTATTTTCGTTACTGGTGTAGCTTATAATATCTCCCCTTATGTAGCCTTTAAAGGCTTCCCATCTAATACTAGCTGTAGTTTCATCCTTATTTGATTCAAAATACACGTCTATAGAATTTTCTATAAATTTGACAAAGTTTGGATCCCTTAACAAAAATGATTGCAATCTCCATCTCTTTGGACAATACTCTATCTTACCCAAATGAATTTCCATAAACGCTGCGAGTTTGTTCTCCCTCTACTCCCTCTTTTAAGCCAAGTATGCGCAGGTTCTTTCTCCTTCCTCTGTTCTCCAGGTCGTGTGTTTTGGCCTCCAGGAAAGTGATTCGTTTGATAGCCGATTCCAAAGCCGTCTCAACTTTCTCCAGTGCCTGTCCAGTGTCTGGTCAATGCGAGCTTCGGCTTCTTCGACACGAGCTGTATTAGTCAGAACATCTTGTTTTATCTCCGTCACTTTACCTTCAAGTGCAGCCAAAGCATTCGTCATCCCAGTCAATTTTGTGCCAATATCATCCAGCTTTGTTCCAAAGGCCGACCTTACTTTACCTTGCTTAGCACCTCCGTCATGGTAACCGTATTAGCGTCTGTGTTGCTCGGCGGACTCGGAGGAGTTGTTTTATTGTTTGGCTTATGTCCACGAGTGAAAATGTCACATTGTCGTACCATCGAGGACTTTGACATACCTCACTGTGTCTTCATTGAGATTCGTTGAAAGTTAGTAAGGGTATTTTCAATAAAAGAAGCTCACGGTTTCGGAGCCTCTCTGCTAATCTGCCATCTTGGTCACGTGACCTCTCCGACTCCCCTTGTGCTGAATTTTAATTTAATTTTAAAGTCGTTTATGCATAGCGTTGATAAACCTTTAAGAAAGGTTTCCTTTCTGACAGCAAGATCAGGGCTACTCCCATAAGCAGTGTCTTTGTCATCATTCATTCCAAAACGCTTGCCATTGTAGATATTGATGCGCGAGTTGGTGTGTCACAGATTTCTAGGTTGTCTTCCTGTGTCTTTGAGTTGTAGATACTGGAAAGCGGATCGATTTCACACTTATTTTTCCTGAGAATCCATATTTTGTGAGGAGTATGTCCTAACAAAATGTAACAAAATGTAAGATTTCTGAGAATAGAGAGGAACTTACTGTATGTGTTGGAAACCCCAGTGCCCTTGTGCCTTTGCCAGGTTACCTGCTCTCCAGGTGTGAGGGCCATGCTGGCTCCCCTGAAAAGCCACTCTCCAATCTGGGCCGGCTCTCCTACTTGGCATACTGGCGCAGCACTATCCTGGAGCACCTGGAGCGGCAGCGGGGCACGGCCCTCAGCATCAGTGGCCTGAGCCGTGACACGGGCATCTGCCCGCATGACATCACCGCTACGCTGCAGGAGCTGCACATGGTGGAGGTGCGGGCCGGCAGGTCGGTGCTTCAGCACATGGTCAGAGCTGTTAGAGGCGAGACGAGATGAGGCGAGGCAAGAGGAAAGTCCCCGTGTGAGTCCCTGCTGGGGGGAAAGCATGACTCAGCTGGCACCCTATGCCCACAGGTGTGTGGTGGTCTGGCGGGAGCAGCCAATCAGGGAGCAAATGGAGCGCAGGGGGAGAAAGTCATCCCAGCACACCCTGCACCCTGAGTGCCTGCGCTGGCCCAAGGGACACTGCACCCGCACCACCCTGGTAGGTCTGACACTCTGCTTCTGAAACTGAGGTGCTTCTGTGGCCATGGCCATTCGGGGGCCTTATTCTGGCTGAGCAGGTAGAGTACGGGCCTCTTACCCCTCACCTGCTTTGTTTTTTTGTGCTTGGACCGTGCTCAGGGTTTCGGCAGGAGAAATGGTCACTTACAGGCACATCTGGCTTGGCATGATGCACACAGTATCTGACCATGAGGTGTTTATGACATTGTTGCATTGCTGTTTGTGTTCAAAAGAACCTGTGTCTTTAATGTGCTTTGGTGACTTGTTATAGTAATAGTTTAAATGCTGGAACAAAACACTGTGGTTCTTGAGCTTTTATTTATTTGTAGGCTGTGCAGATGAAGCAAAGCACTAGCTGGGAGGAAGAAGAACAGGATGCACTCAGGCTAATTGGAGCCAGCTGGCCATCCCACGCTGTGGCCCAGAGGAGAGGGCGGCTGTGGGGATTTCCAAAAGGAGAGCAGCACACGGGTGAGAGGGACGTCCCAGTGAGAGAGGGGAGCCCCGGGGACAAGGGGGACCACAACCATGTTCTCGGACATTTTCCTGACTGTTACCCTAAGCCTGATGGCTCACACTCCCACCTGGATAGCAGCCAGGCAGCACTGGGCCTCAGGAACAGGGTAAGGACTACTCTGGTGTTATTTTATTTTCCTTGGATGGTCTGAAAGCTTATCTGTCTGCATTTAGGTATTTAAGGATGGTTTATCCAAGAAAGGCTCAGTTTGTGGTTGTAAAATTCTGTTAATCAGTCAATCCTGCTTGATTTCAAACTCATTGTACATTGTGGACGTTGTCTGTCGAATACCCCCACTGCAGCAGTGTGGTGCAACACTGCCACCCTGTGGTCACAGTGACCTTCAAAACCATTACAAAACTGGCACAGAAATGATGCGGCCATTTAAAATATGAATGTTTAGTGGGATAGAAAAATGTCAGGTGGCATTTTTTGGCAAAAGGTGATGGTCTTGTATGTTCCTTCTGAAGATGCCAGTGCCAAAGTGGAAAAGGGGATGCAGGCAGAAACAAGTCAATAGCAGTGTTACCATGGAGATGATCTCAGAAACAACAGAGGCGCTGCCCGACGAGGGGAGTCTCACCAGGGCAGGAAGGGCCGAGGGTGAGTAGCTGCAGGGGGCAACCCAGCAGCAGTGGGGCTGCCAGAGGCTCACAAATCACAAAGGGAACAGCAGTCACCATTGAGTGCACGCTTACTGGGGGTGGGACTGATGTGTGAAGCATGACTCGCTCTCTGTCCTGGGCTGCAGGGGAGCTGCCAAAGGCTGCAAAGCGCAAAAGGGGATGGCCGAAGGGTGTCAAGCGTAGCCTGTTCAGGAGACTGAAGAGTGAGAGGAAGACCGGCTTCAAGCTCAACCTCTACACCCCTCCAGAGACCCCTGTGCCGGCCGATCCGCACACCATACCGGAAGAGCCCGAGGAGGGTGGTGGGGGGCCCGTGGCTGGGGCAGAGTTCACAGCTGAGCCACCATCACCTGTTAAACTAGATACCTCGATCTCTCCTTTCTGCCCCTGTGAGCCCCCTCTTGTGGACAGGGGGTGCACTGACTGGTCAAGAGCAGATAGCGAGGAGGAGGACACCATACATATTGATGATCACACTGCAGATGGTGAGGATGATGGTCACAGTGCTCCCAGAGATTCAGGGATGGGGGGAGCAGCAACAGGGGCATCTGAGGGGCTGCTTTTCTGGTCTGAAGGTGTTTTAAGTGAGGTGGGTGGGGGGGAATGCATGCCTGGTGTGGACAGGGTGTTTCAGGTTGGTGTCAGCACCTGTGAGCACAGGCCCCCCTTCCAGACAGAAGAGGACAGCAGTGGTGAGCTTCTGGTGCTGCTGAGAAATGCCTGCACCCCTCCGGATTGCCATGAAGCTGATCCGACACGTGCAGTGGAGTGGTCACCGATGGGGAAGGAGGAGCCCAATGACGGGTTTCAGGACTGTGGTGATGCTTGCCAGGACCTGCAGGGCTATGTGCACCTGGAGCAGAGCCCCCCTGAGGCCACCCTGGGCAATTGCACCCATTCTGAGCAAAGCAGTCCCCTGTGCCGTTTGGTCTATTCTGTCAGCAGCCCTACCGTATCCCTGCTAGAGAGCAGCTATGCGCAGATCAGCCCCGAGCATGGCGCTACGGCAATGCCACCCCTGCGGGGCCTGGATGCCAGCCCTGTGATGGACACGCCTTCGGTGCTGTCTGAGCCCTCAGGGCACATGGTGGACAGTGGCTTCAGTGACCTGGGCAGCATCAAGAGCAATACAGAGACCTATGAGAGCCCGGGCAGCTATGACTGCAGGGCTGGACCCTGGCAGGCAGGCAGCTCCTACAGCAGCCTGGAATCGAGCAGCTGTGCCATGGGCCAGCAGATGGCTGAGGGGCTGATGCCCCAGAGGCATATGAACTCACCACAAAGCTGCTATGCCCTGGAGTGTCCACCCACCAGAGGCTGCCAGACAGCAGCACGTCACACAGCCCCTGGAGGCTTCCGCATGGCCCACGAAGTGGTAGGCCTGGGCCTGTATGAGCACATGAGCGGGGCGGAGTATGTGAGCGCCCCCTATGGCCAGCCGACGACCATTTACAGTCTGAGCAAGCTGCAGCAGCTCACTGGCACGCTCATGGAGCCGGTGTCCTTCAGCCGGCCTGCCTCGCAGCTCTCCTATGACAGCGCCCTGTCGCCCTCGGCATGCCGGCCACAGCACATCATCCCCAGTGGCTCACCCCCTGACCTGACTCCCCCAGCCATGATTCAGTGTAATGTGGTCGTGCCTCCCCCACAGAAGCTGCAGATGGTGATGATTGAGGGCCACTTAGCCACATGCGGCAAATCGGCTTTGCCGCCGGCCCCCCAGCAGTGGGTGCACAGCCACGGTGCGCAGCCCCCCCCCCAGCCGCACATCATGCCTGGTGCAGCTTACAGTGTGAACTCCCTGAACGTCAACGTCAACATGAACATGCACGTGGCACCCATGGATCACACCGTGAATGGATACATGACGCATCCCATCATGAGTGGTGGCCGTCATGGCAACCATGCATATGTAAACCAACCCCCACAGTATTCCATGCAGATGGGGAAGCTGCTGTACTCACAGCAGCATGTTCAGGCCCCAGTGCATGGTGACATGATGTACGGCCCGGCTGGTCACCGGGGATACGCGGACGGTGCTGTGCCCAGGCAGTCTGTGCAGGCCGCTTACCTGAGGCGTTAGGTTAGGAAGGATGGCCATCTCTGGCGAGCCTGTCATACCTGTCATACCTGTCATTTGTGAAGAAGTGCCAGCAAGCAGGTGATGTTAGGAAGCAAAAGAAAAAAAACTGTGAAAAACAGTTCCAGTGATGCCTTTTGAAGGCAGGGTCTATGGTGCAGCCTGAGAGCCTCTTCACACAAAGCCCGCTGCAGGGTTTTTACTGAGGTTACTTAGTGTACCCTGCTTATGCCTATCAGTCCCCTGAGTGCTGCCACTCTATTAGCAGAGGCAGAATGTTCAGGTCCAAAAAGTACAAATCCGGACCAAGGTTTTGTTTCAACCAACTAGTTGACTACTCTTCATACTCAATTGATTGGCTGAAACAAAATCTCTGTCCTGATTTGGACTTGTACTTGAATTTTCCACCTCTGTCTATTGTCTGTTTGTGTGTCTGTACAGGTGTCATTTTGTTAAAGAATGATTGCCTTGATTTGCACTTCGAAACTGTCAAAATCATAAACTTTGTTAGCATTTCTTTTTATCCAGCTTAAAGTGTAAAGAGTGTGTGTAATTCAGGATTTTCCTAAATGAGGCAGCTTTGTGTTTTTTTTAACAGCCTGTCTGTCTGTATAATGAAATTTGTTGGCCGAGAAAAATAGATATAACTCCACATCCAGTCCAGTGTTTCCCCTACCATGATTATATTAGGTGGGCATCTCGCCCCCCCCAACAGCACCTCCCACCCCCCCTTGAAGGTCAAGTTCATTTTATTTTCTATATAGCGCCATATCACAACAGAAGTTATTTAAGGTTACCTTTCCTATAGAACAGGTCTATACATTGTCCTTTTATTAAACAAACTAAATAGCCTTATGTTATTTATCTTATTTACACAACAACTTGTCATTTTTGTCTGTACATGGTCACGTGTTTACAATTCTCCTCTGCTCTCTGTATCGCTTATGGCGGAGTTCTGCACAGACACGTGCACGCACAAACAGGTGAGCATACTCCCACCATTTAACAGAGAGCGCGTGTCGTAAAATATGTCGTTTTTCTGCTCATTGGAGCAAATCAAAGCGACCACACGGGCGTTCAGCCAGCTACGCGTTCAGGTTGCGTCAAATAAACGCTGCATGCATCGTTTTCTTGGCGTCAAAATCCAGACGAACGCGAGGAAAACAACGCTATTGCGTTTACATGGCGTTCGGTTGGCGTTCCGGAGGACCGAATATGTCCCACGATTCTGTACGGTAACTGCGAGAAACCACATTTTACGGAAAATGTGATACTCGTAATATCGGTATTGTACCAGCAGTTAGTTAATCAGCTGCTGGTACAATACTGATATTACGAGTAACCCAAACCGACGGATCAACTGGTGCTAATATTTTCGCTTAAAATACCAATTTAAAAAGCTCAGTAGGCAACTGGAAATTTGGACATCTATAAGGAAAAACGCATTTAACTGATGCGCCGTATCTGCTTTCTCTTTTCAACTGTCTTTACTTATAGGGTTCAACTGCAGTTAATACTAAATTACAAAAGCTGTAGAAATATTTCAGCATAAAATCATGCGGTATAAATAATTATAGTGTTACAGCAATTACGGCCGTAATTATCATAAAGCATTGCAACCCCGATCAGGATAAGCAGTGGGGATCGGGACTGATGGATGTGTGGATGTAAATAAAATTTACATAAATGCATCTTAATTGGACCTCTAGCTTAAAAATTAGTTTACACACTGCAGCTGATCCCCCCCCCCCCCCCCAAATGTAAGCAATTAATATATAAACCCCGCATCTCTCCAATACCTCAACAATTACGGATGGATTCGAGAGTACAGCATAACTTTGGCTTATTACTCGTGCGACATACTGTACTCAGAAAACGGCGGCTGAAACACACACCGAAAAAAATCACAAAAAAACTGAAAATGAAAGACGCAAATTATGCACGTGTGAAAGTAATTTTTAAATGTAAAACTAGAACTTTACAATGTGATTTCGTCATCTTGTTTAAATCTCGAAATATACATTAGAAACCTTAAGAGTAATTACTGCCCCCACAGGTAAATACACGAGACTACAGATTGGGCGTCAGGCTGGTGTTAAACAGCGTCAAGCGAACGCCAGTGAAACGCCAATCGAACGCAGCTACAAAACGCAGGAAAAACACGTATGGCGTTCAGAGGGCGTTCATTTCGAACGTCCGTGTGGACGATGCCTAAAAGAAACACTTAGGGGTAACACTGCAGTCCAAAGGTAATGTACCACAGAAATGCCTTTAAAAGTTAGTTTCATACCTTAAATAGATTTATGTCCAACAGAAATGTCTAGAAGATGACAAGTGAGCAAATGGTGTATAAAAAGGTGTTGGATTCTGTAGGCTGTGATGGACTTTTATTTTTGACTTTCTATTGATGCTGTACATTTTAGCCAAAAATAAATTATACTGTGTCACAGGAGGTTGTTTATGGTTCCTGAGTGGGAACATATGGGGACAAGATGGAGGTCAGAAGTACAGAGGAACTGGGCAATGCAGTAGCACCTGCGTGTGTGTGTCTGTGTGTGTAAGTCACGTATACATTACATTGTGGGGACCAAATGTCCCCATAATGTGATTAAAACCTGTTATTTTGATGTTGTGGGGACCACCCTTTCTGTCTGGAATGCGTCAGACATAATGCACGGGTGATGTCACCTCATATACAACATCTTAAGATGGCAATGTCAAATTAAATATATCTGTTATAGTTTGATTTCATTCATAGACATAAACTACGTACACCAGTTTCCTGGTCCCCATATGGGAAAACTATATTTTATAAAAATCCGTGACTACAATGAAAAAACTAAAAATGCAAAAACTCTTGTATTTTATTTGCTTACTTATGTGTGTGTGTGTGTGTGCGCACGCGTGTGTGTGTGTGTCTGTGCACGCGTGTGTATGTGTGTCTGTGCATGTGTGTCATTGTCTACACTGTTTGAGGGCTTCCCATTATTTAGGCTGTCTCATCCCCCTAAGCTCAGAAGCAAACACAAAACCATGACATTCCTGATATTAAGCCACATAACGTTAGTGTATTACAATATTTAATTACATGTATAAAAATGAATTAAACAGCATGTACACTTCTTTGTGGTGTTTTGCATGACACCTTTATCTGCCACATGTTTACCCTACGATGCAAGGTCAGGCAGCTCACCTTCTGCTCGTGCATAACGAGACACAGATGGTGAGGGTCAGCGGGGGAGGCCCACACCCCACAACCTTACTGACAGTTAGGTTTCTCATCAGCGCTGACATCATGTGCTTCTCCCCAGTAATAACAGGCATAATGCACAGGTAACATCATCCCATATGCAATATCTTCAGATGGCAATGTCAAATTAAATGTTTTTGTCATAGATTGGTTTCACTCAAAGATATAAACTACACCAAATCAAGTTTTCCACCAACATGATTACATTTGAATATTAAACACAATGCTCTTGTAGGTTCATAATAATCAAAATATCAGCATGAAACAGTGCAGTACAATCAGTTATTGTCTTTGGTCAATCCTAATTGTAAACTTTCAAGTGTGAAAGACTTGGAGCTTGGAGACTTTCAGCTTCCTGGGACAGTGCAGCGTGGATGTGGTTGAAATCAGGATGTTATGCAGTCTAACCTGCGATAATCGATGGCTGCTTCACCATAGTGTCTGTAGCATTCCATATGTGGGTGATTCTCAAATGAGACAGAGTAGTCAATTTCTCATGCTATTGACCCGAACACAATAAGTTAACTTTGCTAGTAATTATCCACAGGAACTATCATCCATTAGAACTTGCAAGAACCGGTTTGATTCCTGTTATCTGTTACGTCTGGGCCACTTTTATTACACTGACATTCAGAGGTTCTTGTTCTTGTTCGGCAGTCCCTCCTGCTTTAACAGTCAAACCATCTTTTTAACCGGCCACTGTTCAGTTTGTCTTTTTGTTAGAGGCATAAATATATCTGATATATAAACTGTTTTTGTGTATTGTCGTGCGTCCTGAATTAATTATCATATTAAGGGAAGCATGTGCAGTACATTGGCACTGTTGGGTTTGTTCAACACACCCAAACATTCACCTTGGGCCATGGTACTCAGTCATCCTGACATATAGGGTTGACATCACTCTCAGGCTGCCTGTTGGCCCACAGTAGGCTCCATTGATCAGAACTGGATGGCATCTTGCACTCTGGATGACGGGCGAACTCCTTCCTTTTGAGTCGCTCTGAGAAAGAGAAAATAGATGCAACTGAGTGAAGTCTGACCCCTGACACAGTCATTAAAAATGTTATTCTGTTATGAAAACCTACTTCACCTTAAAAACATAGGATTGCTTTGCTTTTAGGCAACTGTAAATAAGAATCCAATGATAAATTCCTTAAAATGTCCCTCTAATTTTAACATACTGTATAATAATAATAATAATTGATACTTTATTGATTGCTGTGGGGAAATTGTCTTTACACCTTCCTCAACTTGCTCTTTTTTGTAGAGTAAGTTGTCTGTGAATGGCCACCTGTTGGGGCACCCAGGGAGTGGGAGGTTAAGGGCTTTGCTCAAGGACCTGCAGACATGCTGAGGCTGGGTTTGAACTGGTGACCTTCTGATTACAGGCACACCAGCTTAACTCACTGAGCCACACACTGCCCCCCCAAAAAAAAACAGGGGAGAACGTGAACGCAGTCCCCCATTGCCAGAAATTATGCCGTAGATATTCCCACATTTGGGGAATTCGCAGAGGTCAGCACAGACGTAGTTCAATGCCTGGGCCTCACCCTGGGTAAACCACCTTTGTGATCATGGTATCTCCCCTGCCAGGAAGTATGACATAAATAATACAACAGAAATCATTCAAATATTCAACCATCTTAATGGTAAACACCTAAGAAGACTTCACTGAGATACACTGAACATTTTGCAGACACTCCAGTTTGGTGATGTTATTGTCACTTATGAATAACATTGCGGCCAAACATTGATCTAACCAAAAATGTTGAATTTACTTTAATTTAAGAGATCCACAATACCAGTTGGTGAATTAATTTGTAAAGCAAGTCAGAAACTGATCCAGTTAGAACAGTAGGGCAGTGCCAGTGAAAGCCCATGTGGAGCCCTAGGCACATCAAAGAGCATTATTCAAATGAGGATGTCATCTCCATCTCTTTACATAGCACCCGAAAACCAAGGATACCAGTGTGACAATGCTACAGTTCTGTGTTACACAATCATTCCCCTGACCACCAAAGTCCTCAGGTTAGGCATAAACAGAGACACACAGATCTGGGAAACAGACTTCCTGACCAACCACCCTCAGATTGTCAAGATAGGAGAGCACCTCTCTTCCAGGCTGACTCTGAGCAGAGGTGCCCCACAGGGATGCATGCTCAGCCCCCTCTGGACCAGACCAGGATGACCAGAGAGCTCCAGAGCATATCATCAAGACAGCTCAGTACAGTATATCACAGGAACACAACCAGCCATTGAGGATAGTTACAAACTGCTTCCAAAAGAGGGCAGTAAACACCATTAAAGAGTCATCCCACATCAGCAGCCATTTATCTCCTACCGTCAAACAGAACTATCCACGCCCACACAAGCAGGTTCAGCAGTAGTTTCTTCCCAAGGGCCATCTAACAACTGACATTTAAATCCCAAAAGATACAGCTCACATAACAAGTACAACAATGGGCCATTGCAGTGTCACAGAACTGAATATTCAATGTGCAATATGCAAAAGTGCACAATATCCTGTGATAAATTTCCAATCCTGCTGTTTACATACATATTTTCTCTTTAAAATTTATTTCTTTAATAGTTCAATTACATTTATATAGTGTTTGCTTTTATATATATTAGGGGTGCACCGATCGATCGGCGCACCGATCTATCGGCCTCGATCACGTTAATTTGAGGGGATTAGAAATCGACCATATTCCCATGAGATCCACCGATCTTAGTTATATGCTTTTAAATCAGCCTTTTCTCCCATTCCCGAGAGAGGTGCAGTGCAGGCTGCCTCCCTCCC